AATCATATATATATATATATATAACTTTTTTGTCTCTTTTAATCTTTATCGTTTATTGTTAAAGAGTAAAGATAAAGTTTATACAACTATAAAATTAAAAAGATACAAAATTTATATCCTCATAGATTAAAATAAACATTTTTTTATTATAAAAACTAAAAGATAAATTTCATGAAATTACATATTAAAAATGATAATTAAATTTATTTTTAACTACTCTCGTGTTTTATCATAATAGCACTCATGCATGTTAAATTATAACACCGTGTTAAACATGTATCCATATTTGAATACTTTCATTCTCTTTTGTAATTAGGATTATTATTATAATTTTCTTGTTTAGATGTACACGAGCACTCACTATGGTGGCAAGGATGTAACCATGACATTTAAAGAAGGGGAGACTCATAAAAAGGTTTTTGGCCCAATTTTTGTTTACCTTAACTCTGCTTCACTCAAAGAACAGTTTCGGACTCTATGGCCAGATGCTGTGAGACAGGTGCCTATTATTACCCTTAACCATACCCACCTATATATATGATCGTTTATTACACATTAGTTGGGTGGAAGAGATTATGATATCATTGATATGACACTATTTTGTTCTTTATCAATTAGTCATCCAATGAAGTCGAAAAATGGCCTTACGATTTCGTTGGATCAAAAGATTTCATTCCACCCAATCAACGGGGAACAGTGGCAGGACTGTTACAAATTCAAGACGGGTATATGCTAATGCTTTAGTTACCTTCATTTTATTATTCTTCCATTTCATAGGATCAACTTACATAGGCAAGCTAAATTCCTTAAACCTTACTTTACTTTGTTCATCAGAGGAGGGAAAGCTCAACCTGCTAGCAATGCTTCTGTTGGTCTAGCTTTGCCTGGTAAAGCAGGATCATGGCAGAAAGAGTGCAAGGTACGTCGGAATTGAAGCCATTGAGATTCACTACAAAAAATAAATTAGAGTATCACATACTCTATGCTAACATAATATTTGTAACTAGAAATTATTTTTATCTATATTATAAATATAATATATATTGATATATTATTAAATAATAAATATATATTATGTTATTGTATTTTATTTAAAATTAACATTATGATTATATATAATTTTATTTAAATAGATCACTTTTTATATATAATTGTATGTAATATTTTTTTAATAGTATTTCTTGAACTTTGAAGGCTAGTGATGCATTCGACTAAAAAGGGTTTGATTTATGTCATTCACAGGGTTATCAATTCTGGAATCAAACTGACAAAAACGGAAACTTCTTAATTAAAAATATAGTACCTGGGGATTACAACTTGTATGCATGGGTTCCTGGTTTTATTGGAGATTACATGTATACAACCAAAATTACCATCAAGCCAGGTAAAATATATTCCTCTCACATATATGTTAATTACAAAATAATTAATGTGCTTTTAAACAATTACTCAAGTTTTTGGAGCAATCATGATTCATGACATGGTATTAGAACTTTATGACCAAGCAGTCAATAGTTCCATTTCCTTTGTCCTCATTCATTCAAATAAAAGTTAAATGTCGGTATGTATAAAGTACTAAATATAAAACCGTGCATATATTAATAACCTTCAAGCCTAAATTATTTGTATATAACTGTGAGCTGTCACTTAATAATTTAACTTGCTTCATTAGATAATGACTTGTATATATGTAATGTAACTGTAGGAGGCAACATCAACTTGGGCTCACTTGTATATAATCCACCAAGAAATGGTCCTACTCTATGGGAAATTGGGATCCCAGATCGCTCAGCTGCAGAATTCTATATACCAGACCCTAATCCCGAGCTCATTAACAGATTATATTCTAACAATGGCACAGACAAGTTAGTTCAAAACCCATTATTGTTAACACTTAATTAATGTTAACTTCTATTATTCTCTAAAGTATTTCTAATGTGACAGGTTTAGGCAATACGGCTTGTGGGAGCGTTACACTGAGTTATATCCAAAACAAGATCTCGTTTACACGGTTGGTGTTTCTAATTATCACAAGGATTGGTTTTACGCTCAAGTTACCAGGTAAGTTTTGATAATACGTAATTGTTTTATGATTGTCAACTATTGTTAGTTTTCTCCTCTAAACTGCACTAATGTATGCAGGAATGTAAATAAGACATATGTGCCAACCACATGGCAGATTAAATTCCCACTTCAAAATATCATAATGGGAGGAAACTACACACTACAAGTAGCCCTAGCATCCGCCACTTATTCTAGAGTGGAGGTATACACCAATTCATTTCTTCCATATAATTGATCCTTTTTTTTTTTTTTTTTTTTTTTTCCATCTTTGACTATGGTGACTAATATTTTTTGAGATGGGTGATCAGGTTAGGTTTAATGACCCGAATGTAAAGCTTCCTCACTTCTCAACAGGGCCTATTGGCGATGACAATGCCATAGCAAGACACGGAATCCATGGATTGTATAGGCTATATACAATAGTTGTAGGTAGCAATCATTTGGTTAAAGGAAACAACACCATTTATTTGACACGGTCAAAAGCCACAAGTTTCTTCGAAGGAGTTATGTATGATTATATCCGTTTAGAAAGTCCTCCAACTAAAGCTACTTGATTGTGCCTAGTGGAGGATGATAAAGAAGCGTGAATCTGTTGCATTAGAATTCTCTCAAAATTTGCATAAAAGGCAAGCATCACAGTATATTTTGGCTAAATGTAGAAATTATGATGGAAGAATATACACTACACCAAAATTAGTTTTTTTTTTTTTACAATTAATTTATTCTTTAACGATCATATAAATGATCATTATTTTTTTTATCAGCATTTAAATAATGGCTGGTGTGTCCAGGATCGTTAATACTGGTAAAAATTTACTAAATTGTCAGGAAAACTTATTTTTCTTTTAGTTTCTTTTAGTGGCAATTCTAGTAATCATTTTAAAGACTATTAAAAGTTATTTAAAACAATGTGGGATTTGTAAGATGAGGGTTGTATTTAATTTATATATTTTTTAATTGTCTTGTCTCTTGGTAATAATGTGTGATTTGATACTAATTTAGAATAGTGAATTAGAAGTCTAACTTAACCCTATAAAATCAACTTGTAAAGTGATAGTTATTACTCACTTATATACTATTTAATTATCTTATCTCTAATCAATGTGGGACTTAAGTTTTTTCAATAAATAATTGTTGCTAATAGTAAACTTTAATGTAATATAAATATATTTTTAGTAACTATTATATATTAGCTATTAATATTTTTATTATATAATTAAATAACAACAATTAAATTATTGTCAAATAATTGTCGTTAATAACAAAATTTATTATAATGATAGCAAATATTTATATTTAATAAAAAAAATTATTTATTCATTGTTTTTACTTTCCATTAAAGCTTTTTACACATCAAAACTAACCCAATTTATAAATAAGATATTATTCAATAAAGGTTATATTTTTTTTTTTATAGAAAGGACCAAATAAAATTATATTGTGGCACTAAAGGTGCTATAATCCCATATTTACAAAGTATTGATTAAGGGTAATTTAGATTAACTACTTAAATTACTTATTAATTAAACAAAGTGCTTGATTGGAAACCTATTGTAAGCTATAAATCCGTATGAAGTCAATCCAAAATCTTACAATCCCACCAAAAAATAAATTTGACCCAATATTATAAAGCAATACAATGAATCTCGAATTCAACCAAATAAAGGTCAGATTGACGAGTGAGAAATGATAATTTCTTCCGGTCATCGACCTTCAGGTTTTTCTCTTGTGAGGAGATATTGTTATCGAATTAATTTAACACAACAGTATGAGTAACTTAAAAGATTAAGCATAATAAAATTATTGTCTAAAAATAAAAACTGGACTGGGTTAGCAAACACTGTATGCCGAAGTAAAAAAAAAAAAACAAAAAAAAAACAAAAATTGACAAATTTGTAACAAGAAAAAACGTTAGTCGAATAATGAAAAATTATGAGGAGCAAACAAATAAAAAATAAAATAAAAGTAATGATACCGTGAAGGTGTTGGCCGCCTGTGAGAAGATGAACCCAAGCAAAAAGCATCAGTAATACAAAGTAGTATATATTTACAAATAGTAGATAATCATCCCAGTAACAAATCTGTAACTGCCTATTTATGGTTAATGACTAACAATATTGCAATTATCTAATTATGGTTATAAAGATCAAAAAATATTGATCCTTAATACCGCCAGCGACCAAAATATATAACTTAATTACTTTTTTATTGTTGTGAATTTTAACAATACTGAGAAATTTTCTAAACTTAGACAAAAGTTATATATTATTGGGATTTGAATACATTATTAAAAAATATAATATATAGTGACATACAAAAATTATTAATATAGGTATAATATATATAGATATATATTTATTTAACATATAATTACATATATTTTAGTGTTGATTTTGAATATAATTTAATAATATATTTTGTGTGTTATTGTAATCTATGCTATATATCACTTTTTAAAGAATATATTAACATATATTATATTTATTATGTGAATAAAAGTAATTATTAGTGATACGTATTGTAATATTATAGAATGCGTATCATAACAATTTTTTTTTTGGTAATGATAATGATTAATCAATTAAAATTCAACATTGATTAAAAAATATTAATTTTAGGATTTGATTGCAAAAAAAAATATGAATTTTTTTTTATTTTCAATTATAGAAAGTGATTTAATAAATTAGGATTTTATTCATGTTTAGAGAACTTTAGAGATTGATTTCCTTGAAGTTCCTTACGTGTATCATTGTATTGTATGACAATTTTTTTTTTTTTGGTAATGATAATGATTAATCAATTAAAATTCAATGTTGATTAAAAAATATTAATTTTAGGATTTGATTGCAAAAATAAAAATGAATTTTTATTATTTTCAATTATAGAAAGTGATTTAAATTAGGATTTTATTCATGTTTAGAGAACTTTAGAGATTGATTTCCCTGATGTTCCTTAGGTGTATCATATAATTGTCAATTAAAGATTAATTTCTTGTTAATCCAACAACAACAATAAAAATGTATTTAAGTCCTAATTATTTAGGTGTGGAATTTTGAATCATTTAATTAAAATTATAATTCTTTGATTAAGTTAATTGAGTTACCCATATTAAAATCTAAGGCTTTAATGTTGACTAATAAATCATACATTGTTCCTGGTATATAAACTTATTTGATCATCCATTTATAAGTTAGTTTGATTAAAATAAATTGTTTGGTATGCAAGCTTATTTAGAAGCTTATAACATTTTGATAAGTTAATTGAAGTAACTTATAAGCTCTTAACTTTTTTTTTTTCTTTTTATATCTTCATTAATTTACTTGAAATATTTTTATTCTTTCTTTCAATTCGATTAATTTGTTAACTTACAATCTTCTAGCTTTTCAACTTTTAGCTAATAACTTATGAGCTTTCAACTAGTTTATAAACTTTTAACTAGCTTATAAATTAATTTTATAGAACACACCTTAGGAAGACAAACAATTAACTAAGTAAAATATTTTAATAGATGATTCAAATGGATTACATGGAGATTAGTCATCAACGAACCAGAGAATAATTCATACCAATATGATGGTAACAAAAAAAGGATTACATAAAAATTAGTCATCAACAAAATCAGTAGATACTTTGAACTAATATGATAGTTACAAAAAAGGATTACATAAAGTTGAATCAACTATATCAATCTCTAGCACATTGAATTAGCTATTCATAACTAATTTAAAACACTATAAGGGTTGAAGAAATAATCTTGAGTGAGTTTGTTGAGAAAACCTCTATGTCACTCTTTACCTCATAAAAATCCTAATTAATTCTTTCTTCAAGTGAATAATGATAAACTTTTTTTTTGGGGTCGTTTATATTAGGGGTGAAAAATGGATAGATTGGATAATTTTTTAGGTGTATCATAATGAATTGAATAAAAATAATTCATTAATCTATTTAGATTTATTAAAAGTTCACAAAAAATCCAACACATTTAAAAGCAAAATATTCTTCCAATCCATCCATAAAAGTAATATTTAAAAATTAAATGATTTTTATTTTTAAAAATATTTTTTTTTTCTTTTACTTTTTTAAAGCCATTATATTCTTAAATTGTATTTTAAAATTAACAAAATACTTTTTGATGTTAAAATAGTCTTTTAAAATTTCAATCCATTGAGCATCTCATATTTTAATTTAATGGATTGTGAAAAAGTAGTGAATGGATTACTAACCATCAATAAAACTAAATGGATGGATTAGATTTGATCCATTATTTGGTTTTATTATAATGGATGGATTGGATGATCTACTTGTGGATGGATCGGATGGATGATAGATAAATAAATTCATTTGTTACCCCTAATTTATATGATTCAATTAGTGAGCTTTTTCACGCTTTCTTACTTCAATGAGCTTTCAATATTTCTTTGCTGAGGCTATTTGTGGTCTTTCACTTAAGTGAAGCAAACCTTCAGTATTTATTTTTAAATATTTTGCAATTTTATTGTATTTATTTTTATTTATATTTAAATTGTTCAAACGAAATTGAGTATTGAAAAGTAAATACACACACATAAAGGAGAATTTCACTTATTCTATGAGTAAGCCACGATAAAATTGTTTTACTTAATAACTCATATTTCACATCAAATTTTAATCATCTAACCATTGAGTCAAATCAACATATAAAATATTTTTATAATTATTTATCAATTTGAATTAATAAAATGGAGTATATATCAAATAATTTTCATGTTCTTTAAAAATTTGTAAACTTATCTATACATTAAGAATTTTTAATTTAACGGGTTGATCATTATACAATTATAAACTTAAATCCCTTTGGATTTGATGGTTGAACTTTTGTCTTCTTTACTACTAGAACAATTGGTATACTTGTCAAATACGTATCTAGTAAACGATGTTGTTGTTGGAGACTTGGTCCTATAATTGTTTAATTATAATACAGTGGTAGATTAGGTTTTTAATTTTCTATTTTAAATTTGTTAATTTTATTTATTCATTCAATTTTGTTTTAATTTTATAAGATTTCACTTGTTCTTCCTCTAAGTTAATTTATATTTTTTGTGAGGTGAAATTCTAGGCATAGAGCTCTACTACGATGCAAAAATTGAAAGGACTTGTGAAAGAAACATTTTACGAAAGAGATAACCTTAATCAACAACTAGAGAGAAGGACGATGATTGACCGCATGACACACCATGGCCTTAGGGAGTTCAATAGTATCACTAAATCCACATTTATGATAACTCAATTTGAAATTAAACTGGCGTTGCTCAATTTGGTAAAGAGGAATCAATTTTTTATAGCTAATAACGATGAGCCCCACACACATCGCTTTGAGTTCATCATTGTGACACCCTCTACCCCGTTATTAATATACAACAAATGTGCAGTCTCTCAGCCCCGAACTGCGACTAGGGCACCGACTCCACAACCTGCCATGCATCGGTCTCATGCACCAACGAACAAGTCAGCCCATGAACTCAGCAAGGCCCCTACTCATGTCACGGGGGATCAAGCAACCCACTAGATCAGCTTCATTGGCGGTCCGCATTGCGGCTAGGTCGGTTTCGTGCTTGGCACGCATGTTTTGCAGATCGGCATCGTGT